AACACTGCTCTATTCCTCTTTTCAGTCGAATGTAACTATCTGTGTAGTACCTCCATAATGTGATAGGCCTGGCTCCTGTATTTAAACTAAAGTGTGTTGGTTTCTTAAACAGCGCATAAAACACTTTCATTACAGAAGAGTCCACTACCTTGTCAAACAGCAAATGAGGGATGGATCTGTTCTACCAGAATTCTTTAAATGCTGTCTTACTATTGCAGGTTATTCTGTGTAATGCTTCCATTTTTAACAACTGTAGACCCCTCCTAGTAGAAGATTTATTTACCGTAACCACCTGTCTTTGTGATGTCACAACTCTTACTGCTGACACAAAGTAATAACACCCTTTGTACGTCACTATAGGTGGATTCGTGCCTAAGTAGGTTTTTATTTGTTAATATGTAATTGGTATTGTTATACTGTCAAGGCTAAAAGAAATGAGTCAGATTTGGCGTGTTTATTTTTTTTCAGATATGGTTCGTTGGTTTTTAAAACAAAATATTCATCCAGTCTGACCTGTACAATTTTATTTTTAATTGTGGTGCACATTTAATAAAGTTCATGGGTTTATACAAAATTCATTTATTATCTGGCTTCAGGTCCTAGATGTGATAAGATGACCAAAACTCTACATAAATGACCAGTGTTACAATTGCAAATTACGAAATCCTGGAGGGCTGGACATCTGTTACAGAAGTACAGAATTTTCTGGGATACAGCTTTTTCCCACTCATGCAGAGAGTGTTGCAGTTTAAACATTCCTTTAATTGGCACAATAAGCAAATTACTTCATCCATGTGACTTCGAATATTTTCAACTCAGAAGACTTCAGATTTGTTAGGTTCTGATTGGCAGAGCATTTTTTTCTTTTCATGTCCTAGTGATTTAGCTGCATTAGGAGCATTTTGATTGTTTCTCACTGTACTGTCCTCTGCAGACCTGAGAGTATATTCTGAGATAAAATTAAAGCATGCTGTTGCATTATTATTGTAATCCAACATAGGAACAGTAGGATGGAATCAAGTGACACTGCCCTCATTGATGCAGATAATTCACATTCAATGTCGTATCAATTTGAAGAAATCTATGTGCTGTACTTAGTAATTATTTTCCAGATTAGTGTTTCATCTACAAAGACTTTGCTGAAAGCCACACAGCACAGAGGCTAAGTATGCTTATCTTACAGATGTGGTTTATTCTTGTAACTTTTGCTGTGCCATTTTCCATACAAATTGTTGCAAGGAAATGTACATTTTCAACAGAACTTCATAATAATTAAATTTTGTTTCCGTATGAACCGTGAACATTAATGACTGAATGGTTGTCGACCTTGGGGTCAGAATGTAGAGTTTGGATCAGTACAACAGATGACATAACCTCATTTCTTTATTTCAGACAGAGGCAGTCAACAGGCTTTTATTTAGAAACTAATGGGACATTACTTGAATGACTAAAACATGGCATGGCTCACTTTCCCCGATGGACCATTTATCTAACAATGTGGCATTTCATTACATAATCAAAAGAAAAATAAATCACCAGATTTACATCACTGTGTAGCAAATAGATATAAGTATGGTTATTTATCCTGGAAAAGGAAATGCTGTGGGTATTTGTGACATTTATAGGTATATGAGAAATTTGCAAGCATTGTTACATGAAATGACTGGGACATGATGCTACAATCTACCAGACACTGGCCCATTCCATTCCTTCACCTCACTTGAGGTGTTCGACAAAATTTCCAAGTGGAACTTTGTGTAGTTGTGCCCCAGTGTAACTATTTGCTAATTACACTGTGGTTAAAAGTCACTTTGAGGATCACTGCATTGTGAACTGGCAGTAGTATCATCATAGTATGAGAGATATTTCTGGAAAGCAGTCAAGATGGTGGGCAGTTTCACTAAATTGGCCACAGACTGTACCAGTTGTAGCATGAAGCTTATAAATTACTGGCAGATGAATAAGGTAAGAAATTGGTAATTGTGTTTCATAATTTTAATCTCTAATTGATATGCTTGCATTTCACTTCCATGTGTTCTAAACATGTCACATTTCATTCTAACTCACTATGTACAAAGTAAAAGAAAAAAATACTTGAAATGACAGTTTACTTGTACAACTACATATTTATAATAGCTGTAAGATAGCATACTGAATTGATAATTTGTAATTAGTGGAATTACTTGTGTATTTCATATTTTCATAACCAAAAATGTAAAATGAGAAAGAAAATGTGTTTTCATACAAGCCAAAAATTTTACTTTTTCAGCCAATTTTCAGGGCTGCAGTTATATGTAACACTTCACTGTATGATATAATAATTTAAAAAAATAAAAAAAAAAATATGTAAGGTTATTCAGACATAACTGCAGTGCGTGTTAACACAATTTGTACTGGATTTTATGCAGTGTATACAACATGAAGAATGAAGTGGTCTGAAAGCAAGCAGTTTTGATTGCTGATTATGAGTGTACCCCTTCCTCCTGTAGCAGGAGTACCCTTGCACTTAGTAGTTGATCTGTTTTCACAGGTTATGCTAACATTATGCCAGTGCACTTATTAAATCAACTTTGATTAACCCTCAAGTGTCTGGTCAGTATTTGATGAACACTAATACCCAGGTCGAGTATGAGATTGTTATAGTTTTTATGTTGATTATGATATTTTTATCAAGATAATAACCTAAAACCCAGTCCTCATGTATCTTACTTGTTCTATATATTTATAAAATTCAAGACAGGTGTATATGTAATCTGTGGACATATATGTTTATGTTCTAGATACTGTTATTGCGTAACTATAATGATTTCTATGAATTTGAAACACTAAGAAATGTTTACACTGAAATAATATTATTATACTTGTTACATATTCAGGAAAGTTTTGTTAAACATTCAGGAAAGAAGTTATTGGATTGAATTTAACAAAATTGCAAGCCCTTAAAATACTAAATTTTTCACAGTTATGAAGTATTCTTATTCATAATCCATTCAGATTCAAGACAGTATGACTCAGTCTCTGACCGGACGTCTGCAAAGATCAGGTGAGGCAGAGACCGAGTGTGGCAGAGACTTGTTCTGGTGAGGATCGAGTGGGGAGAATTTTGAAAATATTTCGAAAAATCATAAGATGCTGGTAACTGTCCAAAAAGCGCACAAAACCAAAATCTGCAAAGATCGGGTGAGGCAGAGACCGGGTGTGGCAGAGACTTGTTCTGGTGGTCCAAAAAGCGCACAAAACCAAAAATTTTCGACATGTTTGAAAAACTTCTTAAACTTGAATATTATAATTTTTTTGGTTTTGTTCCCTTTTTGGATAATTTCCAGCGTTTTTTGAAAAAAGAGATGCATGACAGTCTCGGAGAATGCCACATCCTGTCTGCCGGACTCGGCCTCTATCTCACCCAGTTGCTGCCTGCCTCGGTGTCTGCACCAACCGGCCTCTGCAGGACTCTGGTCTCTGCACGTCCCTGTCTGCCTCACGTGTTGTCTGCCGCACCTGAGCTTCTTAGAGACGGCAAGTAATAGCCGTGTCATACATAGACCGGTGCATGCAGAGCAAGAGTCAGTCACAGACAACATTCATCAGAGACAAAATACATCAGAAACAGTACGAGAGAGACTGGTCCTGCATGGCATCAGGTGATGGAATTTTGAAAAATTTCAAAATTTACAAAAAAATCAATAAGTGCTGGAAATTGTCCAAAAAGCGCACAAAACCAAAAAAATTGAGAAATTTCACTTTCAAATTTTTCTTTAAAAATGTTCAAAAATGTTTGGTTTTGTGAGCTTTTCAGACAATTTCCAGCATTTTTTGATTTTTCGAATTTTTTGCAAAGTTCTCCTCAAGCGATGCAAGCCAGTCTCTCTGATTGTCACATCCTGTCTATGCCGGACTCGGCCTCAATCTCACCCAGTTGCTGCCTACCTCGGTGTGTGTACCAACCGGCCTCTGCAGGTCCGTGTCTGCCTCACGTGTTGTCCACCACACCCGGGCTGTTCACAGGCAGCACGTCAGAGCCGTGTCATACAGTGACATTCATTTCAAAAAATTTTGTTCTTGTGCGCTTTTCAGACAATTTCCAGTATTTTTTGATTTTAAAAAAGTTGTTATTTTTTTAATCGCCTCAAGAGATGACTGCATCTCCGTGAATGCCTCTATGTTTCTTTGCCGGACCCGGCTTCTATCACCCGTTTGCTCCATACCTCTGTGTGCAAAAACCGGAAAGTCCAAAGTCACGAAAAGTC